TCTATCTATCTATCTATCTATCTATCTATCTATCTATCTATCTATCTTTGTTGGCAGCTAAGTGGCACAGTGCATAGAGTGCCAGGCCTGGAGTCAGAAGACTCATCTTCTTGAGTTCAAACCTGGCATCAGACACTTACTAGCTGTGTGACCTTGGGCAAGTCACTTGACCTTGCTTGCCTCAGTTTCCCTCTCTGTAAAAAGATCTGGAGAAGGAAATGGCAAACCACTCTAGCATCTTTGCCAAGAGAACCCCAAACACGGTCACGATTGAACAACAACAGTAATAAGAATAAAGAAATCTCTGTCCTCTATCACTCACACTCCCTCTTCTTAGAATCTTCATCTTCCTTCAAAGCACGACCCAGATTCCTGCCTCGTCCAGGAGGTCTTTCCTCACCCCCTCTGCTGCCCCTGTTATTACTATTTCCTTTCTCTTAGAATGACTTTGTATGGATTTCTCTGTGTACATGTCACATTGTCCCGATAGAATATAAACTTCTTGCAGGCCAAGGCTGTTTTGTTTCTGTGTTTGTACCTCTAGTGCCTTCCATGCAGTAAGGGCTTAATCAGTGTTTGTTGATTTGGACTGAATTGGGCCCTGTCAGCTCAGTCTGGAGTACCATAGAACTGCAGAATGTCAGGTGCCGCCCCCCCGGCTTTTTACAGTTGCAGAGACTGACACGTCATAGCTTTAGGGTTGAGGGATCATCTGGTCCAACTCTCTCAGTAAGTGACTTGCCCAAGACCACACAGCTAGCAAGCAGCAGAGTCAGGGCCTCTGTGCTCCGTATATAACTGTGCTAGGCCTGGTGTATCTGGCACTTCAAGGCACTTTATGAGTTATCTTATTTGGTTCTGGTCCACAACTCTGGGATGTGGGTGCTATTATCACTCCCATTTTACAGTTGAGGAGACTGATGCAAATAGAGGTGAAGCGACTCCCCAGGGGCCACGCAGCCGGTAAGTGTCTGAGGTAAGATTTGAGCTTAGATCTTTCTGACTCGAGGCTTGGTGTGCTCTCTGCTGTGATGGCTGTATAGCACATCTAGGGTTCTTGCCACCCAAGCCTGAGGATTGCCCGTACTGGGCCGTACCTTGGACCTCTGGATATTTAAGCAGGAGCAGGAAAGCATATTTGAGCGTGGCACTGACTGTTGCCGTCCCCGCAAAGAGCAGGTTCACAGTGGTCAGCAGGAAATCCGTGTGGCCAGACCCTGAGGCTTTTTCTTCCTGGAGAAGACATTAGGAAAGAGGATTCAGAGAACCCCTGGCAGGGGTTGGGGAGACAAGGCTGGCCAGGTTCTACCGAGGGCAATTCCCCAGGGTAAGTATCTGAGCCTCGCTCAGAAAGCAGGCTTGGGCCCAAAGCTACCTCTGTTGGCTGCTGAGGTGGTGGAGAAAAGAGACAGAGAGACAGACACCCAGAAAGACACTGAAAGGATCAGACTGAGGCTTGGAAGAGACCAATGTTCACTTTTTCCTGTTTTGGGGCTGGGCCAAAACCGTGGTTTCTTTCTGTCTTGAAAGGACATTGTTTATCTTCGAGTTTATGAGTGACCCAGCAAGAATTGTTTTTATTATTATTATTACTTTTAGGCAATTGGGGTTAAGTGACTTGCCCAGGGTCACAAAGTTAGTAAGTGTCAAGTGTCTGGTCTGAGACAGGCCTTGAACTCAGGTCCTCCGGACTCCAGGCTGATGTCCTATCCACGGCGCCACCTAGCTGCCCAAGAAAATTGTAGTTTCAATAGTGTGAGGAACTCTCAGTGTGGAGATTCCCTCCATCAATGCTGTTCTGCCCCTGCAATACCAGAGAGTTGCCTGGATCACTGAGAGGTCGAGTAACTCGTGTAGGGGTCAAAGAGTTAGTGTGTGTCAGGACTTGAATACAGCTCCCCAATTATGAGACCAGCGCTCTATTGTACCATGATGCCTTTCCCCAACCCACTCGTGATAGAGATAAACAAAGGGAAGGCCAGAGAGTCACACATGTCAAGCAGCAGAGTGGGGATTTGAACCCAGATTTTTCTGGCTCCACGACCAGTCCTACTGGTGAAAGGGAGGGAGGGAAAAGGAGAGGGAGAGGAAGAAAGAGAGGAAAGGGAAAAGGAAAGGGGAGGGAGAGAGGAAGAGGGAGAATCAAGGGAGTTGGAAGGGGCCTCAGAGGCCATTTTGTTCAGTTTTATAAAGCAGAAAACTGAGGCTCAGAGCGGTCACATAGTTTGTCCAAGGTCACACAGGACAGCTAAGCTGAATTTGGACTCAGGTTTTCTTATTCTAGATTTGGCCTAGTACTTAAAGGAGAGGGCCTACATATTGTACATATACCCAGCCATAGACAGACCCTTCTCTCTTTGCCTTTCTCCCCATTCTGTGCCCCCTCCCCAGCCCCAGCCCCAGCCATACCTGGCCCATTTTGACCAGGAAGTCGTCCACAAAGTCTCTGACAGGAGCCTGAGGTTCCAGCTTCTCCTGGTGCTGCTGGATCTGGCCTGAGACAAAGGTTGCTAGGGTGCTTAGGTGGTCTGTGAGCCGGCTATGGGGAGCTGAGAGATATCGAAGGATATCCGAGAGGTAGTAGAGGGGACCCGAGAACATCTCACAGAGCTGAGGAAGGGAGGGCAAGGACAGAGTCAGCATTGTGGGAACCACTTGTCTGAGTGGAGGAAAACACACAGCTTCCCCGGGCTGGGCTGGCCCTGGGATGCAGAGACAGGGAAGAGAGCAGTGCTGGTAGACTTTCTGAAGGAGGGCAGGATGGGGCAGCAGCTTGGGGGAGAGGGTGGGGAGAAGAGGAATCCGACTGTATTGTTTCAGCCCAGCCTCTGTCCACCCCAAATTCCAAGGCATCACCTGTCCCCACGAGGTGCTAATCTCCTTCAGCGTGCCAGCAGCGGCAAGGACCACAGCTCGGAACTTTTCATCTTCATAGTCAAAGCGACTCCCAAACAGGAGAATGCAGGTGACGTTGGAGACAGCCTGAGACAGCAGCAGGGAAGGGTCCAGCAGGGACCCTGAAGGGACAAATCAACACACAGCCAGTCACAGACAGATGCGCAAGGCCCAAGAGGCCAAGAAGGGGCCTGGGACTGGGATGGGGATTCCCCTGGGCTTGGCTTTCCCAGGTATGGGGAATGGGTGGCTCCAGGTGTCAGCAAAGGGGAATGAGGCAACCCGGCGAGGGAGGAGATGTGAGGGAGGGCCAGGCATCCCTGGGGGTGGAGGGAGGGAGGATTGTGGCCCGAGCCAGGGCAGGCAGGGGGCATTCCCCACCAGAGGGCCAGGCCTAGTGGGCCACAGGGGGATAGCTGTCATGACCCTCCCCTGACCTTGGGTATTCTGTAACGCTTCCACCAGGCAGTGAGCCTCCTCTTGAATTTGCTCTTCTCCTTCCTTCTTGCCCATACCCAGATTTCTTAGAGAGAGGGTGGTGAACTTCCGAAGGTATTTCCATCGATCCCCATTGGCAAAGAAAATGCCTGGAGAAGAAGTGGAGAGTGAGAGGGTCTGGAAGCAGCCCCTCCTTTCCCCCGCCCCCCAGGGCACTGCAGGGAAGGGCAGACAGTCGGGCCTGTTCCCGCCAGGCTGAGGTTGTGGATGGCTCAGTGCCTGGGAGCCTGGTATCCCTGCCCCTCCCCTTCCTGAGGAGCACACAAGTCGGGACTTAGGTGCAAGGCTTAATGATCTTCTTCCAGGATTCGCCAGGTCTAGACTTGTTCTCCTGCTCGATGCTTCCTTGTGATACAGGGAGGCCCCTGGGCTCTCGAGGGCTAAGAAAGGTCTGCCCAAGCCCGAAAGGCCCAGACTAACGCCCCAGTGGCTTCAAGCTCAGGCTCTTTGCTAGACTAAATCTGGGGTCCAAGGACTAGCTTCACTAGGAGAGGCTCCCTCCCGTGTTGGCTGTGGGTGGTGGGAAGAGGAGGGGATGATTGAAAATTGTTTTTTCAGCCACAGCGATTCTCAAAGATCATCTAACGAAACCATAGAGGGGTGGTGATCTGTACGAAGAAGGCCTGTCCCTCTAAGGAAATCACAATTCTTTAAAGTAGCCAAGTCAAATTTGCTTACAAGGGATAGGGATAGGGCAAAAAGGGAAAGGGGTTCTTAGAATACCTGCTCTCCCTTTCTTAGCAGGTCTTGGGTTGAAAGGGTAAAACCCAGTTAAGAATGTATTGGTTCTAGGGTTTTTTTTTCTTTAAGTTTCTATTCTTGGGTGGGATTACACAAGGTTTCAAATTATGCATGTTAAAAATAGCCAGGCTTTAAAAAAAATTCTTATCCAAGGTTTTAAAATTACCTATGTTTCTTGAGAACCCAGCTTTAAAAAAAATTACAGTTACAAAATTATGGTCTAATAAGCTCATATGATATTGGAAGGATAAGGTTGGGCCAGACTATGTTCCCTTAGGATAATGGAAAGAGATAGGAGTTTAAGTCCTTTCGAGTCCTTTGTGTGACCTGAGGCAAGTCCTCTTCAATCCCTGGGCCTCAGTTTCCCCATCTGCCAAATAAGACTGAGATGGTCTTTAAGGTTCCTCTGTGTTCTGACCATTTAAGATTCTAACAATCTGTGGTTCCAATAACACCCACCCAGTTGCCACAGTGATTTTCCTGAAGCACTGGTCTCTTGCCTCCAGGTTCAAATAGGAAGCCCTCTGTGTAGAATATATAGCTGACACCTTCCTACCTTTCTAGTCTTCTTGCACTTTTCTCCCCTTTCACACACTGTACAATCCAGATACACTGGCCTCCTTCTCATCATCTGAACATAATACTCCATCTCCTGACTGCTTTTTCACTGGCTGTCTCTCATGCCTGGAATTTTCTGCCCCCTCACCTCAGGCTCTTACCACTCCTGGCTTCCTTCAAGACTTGGCCCAAATCTCATCTGCAGGACTTTCCTGGTCCAGAGGCAAAGCATCCTCCCCCCTTACCAAGCATCCTCCCCTCTGGGATTAGATTCCAACTACTCTTTATATCTCTTGTATGTATATAACTATTTACATGTTATCTCTCCGATTAGATTGAACTCCTTGAGGGCAGGAATCTTTCTTGGCAACTTAAGTCCTTAGCATGATGCCTGGAACGTATTAACCTCTTACAAAATGCTTGTTGGTCAAAAAATTGATTAGAGGGTTAAGATTTTAAGTCCAATATTCTATGCATTCCAAGTATGCTGTTCTATACGATGTTCTAGGAGCCCAATGTTCATAGCAGTTCATGTGATTCTGAACTGGAAGTGACAGCCCTTCTGTCACAGCTGAGGGCTGAAGTGATTTGTCGGAAATCACACAGAAGCCTCAAGAAGGCTTCTGTGTCGGAAATATGTGTTGGAAGTCACACAGAGCCAGGATTCAAAGCAAGGTCCTGACTCCCAAACTGGGGCTCATTCTATTGTCCCAAGGTTTCCCTCTCCCACGACCCCAGTGTCCTAACAATGATAGACTCTGCCAATGGCACATTTTGCTTGAGGACTCTCAATTTCTAAGCCCTCTGCAGCCCATACCATGCTGATTGAAGGTCTTCTCCAACGTGGCTACTTTCCCTCGCCCGGAGAATGCCTCTGCCTGGTCCACCAATGCCTCTTTGACGGCCTCATAACCACTTAGGATGACTACAGGGCGGGAGCCCAGATAAACGGTGAACACAGGGCCATACCGAGCACTGAGCTGCAGGGAGAACCAGAGTCACTGGAGAGTGAAAAACCCAGCTTTCTCTCATCTCCAAGCCTGTCCTCCTAAGGTTTCCCTGCTCCTCCCTCCTAGGTGCCCAGTTACCCCCATTCCCAGGTCTTGGTAATATTCTCCCTTCTTTCCACTGTTCCACCTCTCTAGCAATGGGTCTTGCCATTCTGCTCCCCCCTCCCATATCCAACTCCCTGGCCCATTCCCCTTCTAGGACCTTCCCTCAAAGTCCTCCCACTGCACACCCCATGGTCCAACTGGCTCTACCTCCCCTCACCCACCCCAGTTGTCTCAGTCCTTTTCTCTTGGGGCCTTCCCAACTCTGTGACCATTCCCCTCCCCCCCTTTAATGTCAAGATGCCCACATAGGAAGTCTAAAACTGACAAGGGCCTTTGAGTGAAATATAACCCTTTCACGGTAGAGAGAGAGGTGAGTCCAGAGGCACACAGGCAGCACACAACAAAATCAAGATAGGAATCCAGATATGCCTCCTCCCTGCCATCCCACCCCCCCATCCTCCTGGAATCTCAATTGATTGCCATCCCCAGATACCTCCCCCTGCCCCTCCTCCCCCATCACTCTGCTTCTCTAGGTCTCCAGCTGTCTCTCCTTAGGGTCATAAGATCTTAGATTTAGAACTGGAAGGGGCCTCAGAGGGCATCTGGTCCAAAGCCCTCATTTTACAGATGGGAAAACTGAGTCTAGAGATGACACGTGATTTATTTGTCTAAGGTTACACAGGTAGAAAGTGGAAGGGGTGGGATCTGAACCCAGTTCCTTTGACCCTACGGGGGGGGGGGAGCGGGGGCGGTGTCTTCACCTTTTTTATATCGGTTTGGTGAAGTCTAAGTAAGGACCCCTTCTCAGAATCACGTTTTTAATTAATCGAAGGAAATGCTAAAGTTCAGTTGGAGAGATTTGAAACCAAAGGTGTGATTTTTCCTCCCATTTAAGTTCAGGCATCTCCTAAAATCTATCCACAGATGGACCCCAGGTTAAGAATCCCTGCTCTGGAATCAGTTTATTCTACTGTGTACCACGTGGCTTCCTAGGCTCCGTGTTGGGAGCTCCAGTGCTTGGTAGCCTCAGGAGGTCTCTACCCCCACCCCGATTCTCTGGGGGTTCATCTCACTCCCCCTTATTCTCCTGGGGTCCCTTCCACTTGCTCCCCCTGCCCCCGTCACTGCACCCTCCAAAGGTGGCTCAGCCAACCTTCCCACGGAGTACTACCACCTCCTTCCTTTCCGTGCCTCCCCCACCCCACCTCCCAGGTATCTCTGGCCCCAGCCCCAGCACCTGGAGCAGCCCAGGGTACAGCGCCCCTGGCCACAGCTGGCCCAGATTCCCCAACAGCGGCAGCGGCAGCGGCCCCGGGGGAAGGCGAGAGAAGCGGCGGCCCCGGAACCCCAGAAGGACGACGAGCAGCAAGAGGAAGAGGAGGAGGAGAGACACGACCCCTATGCCCAGCGCCATCCCGAGCCTGAATCGGGGGAGGGCGGGGAGAGGGGCAGCGACGCTTATAAAGACGTCCCCCAATGGGGCCCCGCCTGCCCGCCGCCTCTGGAGGCCACCGGGATTAGGCCCCTCCCCGGACCCCGGGCGAACGCCGGTGAAATGGGACGGAGGGCCCTCGAAGTCCGGGAGTGGGAGGCGTGGGCGCGCGGGGCGGGGGCAGGTCGAGGGGCTCTGGAGGCCGGGCCGGGCCGGTGCGACCGTCGGGCTGACTCCCAGCTGCCCGATTACTGGCCGGACACCTGATTTCTGGAGGACCTGCAGCCCAGTCCGCTCCCTGCCAGCAGCAGCGCCGGATTTCGTGCCTCCCCGGGACGCTGCCACTGTATGCCGCAGCTCCAGGTCCTCTCGGCTCTCCACCCCCGCCCATCACCTGCTTTTCTCCGTGTTTCCCTAAAAGCATCAAATTGGGAGACCGAAATTCCGCCCCGGTTCTACCTGTAACTCCCCGTGGGACTCTGGGCAAGTTCCTGTCCCTCTCCGGGCTTCAGTTTTCTCCTGAGCACCAGCAGGGGTTTGCACTCGGGTGCCCTTCCAGGGCCGCAGGTCCCATGGTTCCGTGACTTCCAAGCACCCTACACTGGCGCCCCACCCAGGCCTGGCCGGAGCGCTGGGACTCTGAACACCTGCCACCTCCTCCCAAGGGGGGCCCGCCTGGCACCTGCAAGCCATTGGGTCTCAAATTCCACTGACCTTTCCTAAAGGGTGGCTATTGGAATATTATTTCATTGCTGTTTTTTAAATCCAATCCCTTCAAATATACAGAGAAATTGAAGCCCAGATTGGGGAGAAAGGCTCACGCCCAAATTCACTGAGGCCATCTGGTTCGAATTCTGGCGCTGCCCCTTACAACCTGCCCAATGCCTAGAGCATAGTAAGTGTTCAATAAATACTTTCTTTGTCTACTCCCTGTGTGACCTTGGGCAAGTCATTTAACCTGTTTACATCTCAGTTATCTCATGTATGAGTGGGCTGAACTCTATGCCTTTCTGAGCTAAAGCCATGATCCCGTGATCTGGGGGCATAGCCTGATCTCCTTCTTTGACTCCATAAGAAACTGTCACATATCAACCCATATTTTCTCTCTATCCCTAAGGGCTGGATTTGTGAGTGTGAGTGTGTGTGTGTGTGTGTGTGTGTGTGTGGTAGTGATGGTGGTGGAGATGGGGCACACTTGCTCTTCAGTGACCTAATTTCCCCTAAGAGACTATCTGTGTGTACTTGGGGGATGTAAAAGCATCTTCTGAACTACCCTGAGAGCTTCACCCCCATCCTACAACCTGGTGAAATTCTCCCCAATACCCTTCACACATAAAATACTTCTCCCTTCATCCCAAATCTTGGAAAACAGGAAGATTGAGAAAGCTGTACTACTTTTGAGCTTGTAATCCCACCAGGAGACACCCACCTGACCCTGAATCACCTTTGGGAGAAGAGGGAGACCCCTGCTTAAAGTGTCCCCTAATAGTCCCTCCCAACTCTTAAGACTCTGCTTCTAAGAGTCTTTATTTCTAAGATTCTAATAACTTAGATACCTGTTTCAACAGTGAGGGCAAACAAGCCCTGGGACAATCCCATCAGCAAGGCACTGCTAGCAGCAGCATTAGCTCCATTTTATAGAAGGGGAAACTTGCCGGCAGAGAGGGAGAGTGACTTACTGAAGGTCACTGTGAACTTGAGCAGAGAGAGCTCTTATAACTTGAAGAGTTAATGGCTATAAGAGCCTAAGATTAGAATAGTCCCAAAGTGGCGAAATTAGACCAACCATATCCAGAGTACGTCTGTTCTTGAGGGGATACTATTATGAGGGAATCATAGCAGCTAAAGGAGAGGAAGATACCAAAGACATGGAAAAAAAAATTCCAGACATTATTAATATGGGCAGAAAAAGCACCCAAGTGAATGTGAAAAGTTAATTTATGTGCCCAGTTTCCCAAAGGAGGGGTGGTAAACTTTGGAGGCAGGAAGACTTCTAATTCAGTTTCAGGCAGCGGTTATGTGACCCTAGGCAAGTCACTTTACTTCTGTCTTAGTTTGCTCTTTGCAGTATGGTGATCTTATTATAACACGTACCTTCCAGGGTTATTGTGAGGTTAAAATAGCATGTAAAGTTTTTTCAAACCTTAAAGCATTATTACTTATGTAAATTTTTTAATGAGAACCATCTACTTATAGTGAGAAACCATCTACCTATAGTGAGAAACTTCTACTTAAAATGAGAAAATAATGCTTCAGTTTGCACTCAGAGTTCATCAGTTCTCTCTCTACCTATGTATGGAGGGCATCCCATCCAAGCACATCACTGGGAAACAGGCAGACTTTCACAACTGATATCACAGAGTGGACCGAATCTTTACTATCACAAAATTGACTGGAAGATTTAGAGAATTTATGATTCTACTGTATTTAGTGTTTGTTGATTATTTTAAAAATAATTTAATGATTAGAGCAAAATAGTGTCTCTTCCAACAAGGTAATTCCTACGTATACATTAAACTCATTCAAAGCTCCTTGAAATGTATGTTAGCTTTGACAACCCTCTTAATCATTAACATAGCCAAGACATAAAAGAGGGAGACATGTGCTTGACAAATGTGTCAGGAGGTTGTGAAAATCGCCTTTCCTGGGATTATAGAGTTAGTCTTGAAAAAGCATTGTTATGAGGAAAACATGCTATCCTCCTCCAGAGAGAGAACTGATGAACACTGAGTGCAAATTGAAGTATCATTTTCTCATTTTATTTTATTTTTTTGCTTTTTTCCCCCCCACATGGTTAATATGGAAATATGTTTTGCATGATTTCACATGTCTAATTGATATCATAATGCTTGCCTTCTCAGTGGGTGGGAATGAGGGAGAAAATTTGGAACTCAAAATTTAAAAGGAAAAGAATGTAAAAATAAGTAACAAATTAAAAAAGAAAAGCATTGTTATGCTTACCAAATCAGGAAGCTGGGGCTTCATTTTTCCTCTCCAGGATAGTGTCCAAGTTGAATACAGAGAGATTTCCTATGGATAATGAAGCCCTCTTCCTGTGGATGATGTGGAGTTGGTTGTCCTGGAACAATGAAGAGCATCCTGGAAGTGATCTGCAACCATTCAAAGGAGTTTGGCCTAACCAATCGCATAGGATAAATCAAGAATAAAGAATGTCTGTTGTTCAGTTGCTGGTTTAGGGACAACCTACAGAGTTCATTCCTTTAGTATATGCAGGGTGTCCTAGAAATCTTGGTGAAGTTTTAATTTACTAAAGCTTAAACCTGAAGCTACCAAAACCTGACTTCATCAGACACTGTAGCTGGATAATAAATTCATATGATAATAAATTCTAGGAGGAAGAGACAAAACTGGATTGCCTTCAGGAAATTACATACATAGAAACACCCCTAAGGTGTGTATTCCCCTGGGAAGTCACATTCAGGGCTCTGACCCAATGGACTCTTTTCCCCAAAGGCTTTTGGAAAATATAGTATAGGGAAATCTTTGCCTAATCAGATAGGTTCTTCCCCAAAGCTTTTTGGGGAGTATATGAGGAAATCAGTGTGGGGGTAAGGGAAGCATAATTGAAAACATTTGGGTGAGGATCAGTGGCGGGAGGAAAAGAAATGATATTGTCATGACATTATACTACAGACCACTTGGACAGAGGGGAGGAAATAAATACATTTGAAAAACAACACAAACCTGGCAAAGATACATAGTATAATAATTGTGGGGGTGGGTGTGTGGAGTAGATCTAAGTATCTGGGCTCTTTGCCAACGGCAGAGCAATTGATACATCCTTATTGGGGTGGTCAAGTCATACAATCAATCAATCACCTCACCCCACTTAAAATAACTCACAAAATACTGTAGCCTAATACCTAACCAAGTGAGAATACCTCTGTTGAATCAAATTGTCAATTGACCCCCGCTGTTACAGGTGCTTTAAGGATAATTTCATTCTTCGAAAGATAGGAGACGTGACGTGGGGGACTGTTAATCCATTTACTTTCCCCCCGTTCCCTCTGACTGAAATTAAATAGCTACTAACCTGTTTACATATTGTAACAATAACAACAACAAGCTATTATATGGTTATTATTATTATTATTATTATTTTTCTGTCTCTATGTCCCCAGCACCTGGCTTGGTACCTGGCATAAAAGAGGCAATTGAGAAATCCTTGTTGGATTGGACTGAATTGGATAAATGTCCTTTTGTTAGATTCAGCCCATTGACCCCTCAGCTCATCTTTCAAGCCTGCTGAGAAGTTTTTGGATTCTGACTCTTCCATTTTCCATCAGCCAACCCTGACAGGTAGGAGTCACCTGCAATATTTGACAGGCCTATAACTTCATTCAAATAGTTGATATAAATATCAAGTGACCTTGAACCAAAGACAGATCCCTGGAGATGGCCTCTTTAAGTTAACATTGACCTATTAATGCCTAGCCTTTGAATCTTGTCATTTAACCAAATCCAAATACTCCTAAGGGTAAGATCATCTAGTCCACTTCTCTCCATCTTATCCACAAATGGCATGAAAAAAAAGTATGATAGTTTTTTTTTTTAAATGCCTGGTTGAAAATAACATGTCAAGTACTTCACCAATCTTAAAACATGATATAACTGTTAGCACTCATCATAGAAATGCTGCCTACCGTCTGTCTACAGTCTACCATAGTCTCTTGATCTCCAAATCTAGTAACCCTGTCAAAAATAGGAATGAGTTTAATTTGGTCTGACTTGTTCTTAACGAGGTTATTCTAGCTTTGTCATTACCACTTCCCTTTCCAAATCCTCATGAACTATATCTCTAATAATAGATTCTAGCGTTTTTTTTTCAACAGGAATTCAAGTCAAGCTTACCAGCCCACAATTTGCAGAATCCACCCTCTTCCCTTTTTTGAAAAATTCTGACCGTTCTGAGCATTGACTCATCCCAGTCCTGTGGCCCCTCTCCCTTTCTCTTTGGTCTCTCGAAGGTCACCCACAGAAACTCAGCAATCCCATCTATCAGCCCTTTCAGTCCTTTGGGGTTGTAGCTCACCTTGGCTCATATGTGATCTCATCAAAGGCATATAGGTGCTCTCTTACCTTTTCCTCATTTATTTTACTCGTATTACTCATATTTGCTCTATCCTTCCCATTTTAGGAGATTGATATTGGAACAGAAAACAGAAGTGATGCCCTCAAGCAGTGCTCCAAATCACTTTTTTGGACTTCCTCTAAGCTCTCAGACAGAGCCTAAAAGACCCTTTTTATTGTCAATAGCACCCAGCCCCAACCTTAATCTTTTTGGGCTTTTTCCTCTTTAAGAAATTTGTTATGGGACCTTGCTATGCATATGTGTTCATTCTGTTTCCTTGAGTCTTGCTTTCCTGGTAGAATCTCTTTAGACTGTTTTCCCATCCCTCCACCTCCCACCTTCTTCACATAGTAACTGCTTAACAAATGCTGGTTGATGATTGACTTCTCATTGAAATTATTTCTGTGGGTATCATTAACATTTCCTTCTTGGGAGCTTTAGATCTCTGAGGCCAAAGTCCCCTCAAGAATTTTTGGCCACTAAACCCACCCATCCTTTTTCTGAACCCTTTGAAATTTATTCCTCTGCTCTATCCAAAATTTTAAGGTAGCATTGGGGTCACTTGCCTCAAAAGTTCCCATCACTCAAACTTCTTTTAAAAATTATTATTAAAAAAAGTGTTTTATTTATGCACTTTGTCCTTATATTAGTCATTTCTGGGATAGGAAAACTCCCCTTCCCCCAACAACCCAGCCCCCACCTTCTTCTAGACTGAACTCTCCCTTGTAAGAAAGAATGAAGATTAAGCAATACATTATCT